ACACAAGAAAAACTCTAATAACTAGACTAAGACCCACTCAGACTTATCAATGGGGATATTCCCAAAACTCTTCACTCAAAAAAGGCTAAGAGGATGCGTACTGCTGCGCGCAAATAATCTTATGGATTTGTGTGTGCTCGACCACACAATACAATGGGTTTTATTAATAGTTATTAAATCAAATTAATTATAAATTTAACTAGGCTCGACTACGATGTGCATAGCCGAAACAATGAAGTAGATGACTTTCGAATTTGCTCACTATACCACAATTTCGTCAAAATAAACCCCTTTCCACAAGGAAAATCGATCAACATTGCACCACTACGAGAGACGAACCAAATCCGACATGCAAAAAGGAAAAAAGAAAAAAAAAAAGTTGGATCGAACAAAATCTTGTAAGCTTGAAATTCCCATATCATCTAAGTTTGATATAATCTCACATTATTTCTTCTAACAAGTAACAACCTGGCAACTTAGTCCTTGTGAACCCTCAAGCTGTACAACCTGTACAACAGCACAACCATTTCTTTAGATTCCCTGCATATATACCAACTGGCTACCAATAAGAAAGCTGCCAACCATCGTACAGTATTTTCTGACTTAAACCTTTTTGAGTTTAGAACATAATAGAACTCTCCCCTTACAATTTCCCCGGTCAACTGGAGTTTAGATTGCCCTCTCGAGAAAGTTTAACAGACGCAACACGTACCATTTCAATGAGATTGTCGTCAAGTGCATCAAGCTCACCGGAATTGCGTAGATGGTGATAAAAAGGCGCCATGTGATCAGCTGCCACTTGAGCCAATTTCCATTGGGAGAAATCGGCAGCAGTTTGAATAAATTTGGTAGACAGGTACTTGGAAGATACTAAGCAAGACACGACTACATTATGACATTCTTCATAAAGGTCCTCCATGAGCCAAAACTCAGCAAGCCAACAAAGCTCCAAATATGACTGGACTTGCAGAAGTTTGTCCTCTGGAGCCGTATTATCCCACACACAGTCGAAAGCAGGGACGGGCAACAGATCGGAATAGAACCAACTGACTAGTTTGTTGAGCGATTCCCAGCTCACGGGGACTTTGATGGTTTCCAAATGGCTGAAATAAAC